TAATAACAAGCTCTAGATATGTATTTTCACAAGACAATGCATCAACACTCACATTTCATAGCAAAAATCACAAGTAGAATCCAAGAAATCATCATATAGGTAAGAAAATAGATTTTGTAAAGCATGGGTTACCTCTTGTAGCGTAAACCTTCACTTATTACACCTTTACAAGCTTTTAACAAGGCTCTCCTTCAACACCAACTTCAAGAACACACCAAAAGACAATAAAGATTTCATCTTTAGAAAAATACACCTTAAAAGATACCAAAAACACTAAAGGACCGAAGATCTTACCCTCCTATATGCTCAAGAGTGAGAAAGGTGGAATCTTGGAGACCAACTTAAAAGATCTTGGAATGCCCAAACTTGGCTTGAAGAAGAAGCTAGCTAAATTCTATAGAGAAGGGGGAACTTTTGTTTTGAGAGTGTTAGGGAAAGAATGAAAGATGACTCTAGGTTAGCTTGGGATACAATCATGAGGTGAAAGGTCTTCATTACCCTTACTAAGATGGAAAAGTGTAAGGATACAAGGGAACAATTCACAAAGCTTAGAGTACAACTCATTGGCATGGGTTGACTAGTCAATTACTAGTCCCTGACTATTAAATTTTCAGGATTTTAAGAATTAAACTATCAATTAAGCTTGGATTAATTACTTATTTAATCATTAAATGGAATTCGGATTTACAGGGTGTCACAAATATTTTTTAAAATGTATGAGAAGAGATCAAGTATATTGAGAATATATGGGATATTAAGTGTTAAATACACACATTGTGTATATTTTTTCCCACAATCTACGATCTAAGAAGTAACTGAGTTAACTGTGCAGGCCACATTGTGGGTATACTTAGTAATCAATTTGCATGCACACATTGGTCTCATTGCAAGCAACAAAGTCACAGAGAAGGAGATCAAAGTCGCATTCTCTACGGAGAAGGCGACATTGGTTTCCTTCTCTACGGAGAAGGCGACCGCGACCCTGGTCTCCTTCTCCATGACAAGCGATCGGTCGCCAGTCACTTTGTTGCCTAGAATTTTGCAGGAATCTCACCAGCGGGTTGTCAAAACCCTAATGACCTGTGATAGCAGGTTATTAACTGATTTTTGGGCTTCATTGCATCATAATAAACTGTTGAAATGTGTAATTGTACCTTTAAAAAGTTTAGGGGGGCTAAAAAAAGCATCTTCCCTTCTAGGGTTTCTCTAATTCTCTCTCATCTCAAGTTTCGACTGCTCTAATTCCATATGGTCGCCGCCTCCGTAAAGCAAGCAGAGGTGGCGTCCGATCGTCTTCCACTGTCGCCATCTCCACCGTAGGCAGCGTCCGCCTTCATTGTCTTTCATGCCTTCACCGTCTTCTCTTCCATTCCCTGCCTTCGCCAGTAGTTACGCCTGGCCCCTCCATCTCCAACGCTACCGGTCGTTACTCCCTTATTTTCGCAATGTTGTTTCCTTTTGCTTTGTTTTACTAGTTTTATTTTGTTTGCAGTTTCTGTGTTTTTCCTCTCGTTTACTTGACGGGTTATTTTTTCATAAAATGTGAAACGATAAAGCTGGTTATGCCGTATGTGAATCTCATCCTGAGTGACAAACATGACAATGAAAAAGAGACTCCTCTGAACTATGATATACAGTTCAGTCCGATGGAGATATAGGACGAAACTAATAGTCTAAAGGTCGAGTCTCAGTCTATTAGTTAGATACGCACACTCTTTCTTGTTTTTGTTCCAAAAAGTGAATGAAAAAGTAGTTTCAATTTGTCAATGGATAGAAGAATGGAAATAGATACTCATGTGATGTGTAAGATTATTCAACCAGCGTCAGTCTTGAATACGTTTGACCAGATCATTAAAGAAGCTTTAAGTTCTTCCAAAGAATTCAGCTTCAAATTTGTGAAACAGTCCGCGAATCAAGTTTTCTGTAGCATTGCTCGGAAAATTGTTTCTATGTCTGACTGTAAGAAATGTTTGACCATTCTATCGATCATATCATTATTGTAAACGTTTCAGCTTATGATTAATGAATTAGTTTTTTTATTTTCAAAAAAAAAAAAGTTAAGGGGGTAACTGACGTTTCAGCTAAAGTTCGAAAGGCTATTTAACCATTTTTATTAACTTTAATTTTTTTGTACTCCATATAATATATAACCACAGAGGCTAAACCTAGCCCCCCTCACAGCCACTGGTGAGGCTCAATCCCTGGTCATTCTTTCAACTTTTCACCTCTATGAACAGTTGAGCTGTCCATGCAGGTTATTAAACTGTATTATGATTTTACTTATGGGGTTGTATTCAACCATGACTTTTGTAGACTTTTAAATATTTTTAAAATGATAGATTTTAATAAACTTTTATTGACTTTCATAGAGTCTTTATAAACTTTTTAAAACTTTTTAAAAATATTTATAAACTTTTATCAACTTTTTTATTTTAAAAAGTCTATAAATTAAAAGTCATTGAAATTCTAAATTAAATACATCCTTACAAACTTTCAATGATTTTGATTCTTATCATTTATAAATTTCTTTAAAAACATGTTATAATATATCATAAAATTCTTCTTATTATATAGTTGCTCACCCACATCAGCATTATTATTTTTATCCATAGTATGGTGAGACTTATATGCTAATTACTTATATAGTATTAATAAGCATCAACAAAAAAAAAAAAAAAAAAAAACTATTTCATAAGAAATTCATAACAATTTTGAACACTAAAATTTATAGTAATAGAATTGTTCAAATAAAATATTTAAAAATATAATTACTAGTTCCATAAAATAAAAAATATAATACAATAATATATATATATATATATATATATATATATATATATATATTTCTTTAAAAACATGTTATAATATATCATAAAATTCTTCTTATTATATAGTTTCTCACCCACATCAGCATTATTATTTTTATCCATAGTATGGTGAGACTTATATGCTAATTACTTATATAGTATTAATAAGCATCAAAAAAAAAAAAAAAAAAAAAATCTATCATAAGAAATTCATAACAATTTTGAACACTAAAATTTATAGTAATAGAATTGTTCAAATAAAATATTTAAAAATATAATTACTAGTTCCATAAAATAAAAAATATAATACAATAATATATATATATATATATATATATATATATATATATATATATAATTATAATTATACTTGATATACTCCTAGGCATCAAGCAAAGAGTTGTTAGTAGTTCGCTATTCGTAGTGTTTGCTATTCGTAGTTGTTAGTAGTTCGCTATTCGTAGTGTTCGTAGAGTTGCAAACAACAACGAGGTGCAACTGTTTGCAGCCTCAAATTACTGTTGCGAATAGTAGTTCGCTATTCGTAGTAGTCTGTTGTTAAAAAAAATGTTACGAATATAAACAAAAAAAATAGAATAAAAATCAAAATATACAAGTATTTATATGAATATTATGAATTATATAGTAAAATTTGACGGTGATAGATGAAAAATTTGCTTTGTTCATGTATTTAGGGAGAAAAAAGTTCTTAGGGAAAGTTTAAAAGCCATGTAGAAAAGTGTTTAGATGTCAAGGATAAAAAGTTCATTGAAAAAAATAAAAAATATAAATATAAATTAAAAGCAATAATGAGTAAAAATAATATTATTTCAAAATTTTAGAGGAAGATTGTAAAGTTTAGGAGAGAGAAAAAATTGATAGAGTTTAGGTATGAAGAAAATATAGGACAATGAAGAAAAAATAATTTATTGAATTTAGGTATAAGGTTTATACAGTTTAAATTGGGAGAAAACAATATAGAGAGAAAAAACCTTCAGAGTTGGTAGAAAGAAAATTTTGAAATCTTGGGATTGAGAGTTGGATTTCAACTATAAGGAAAAGTCTACAAAAGTCTTAAAATTAAAAAGTCTACACAAATTCATAACTTTTTGAATATCGTGTGACTTTTAAAAAACTCTTTAAAAGTCTTAATCGAATACCACCAGACTTTAAAAAACTTTTTTAAAATATTGATTGAATACCGTCTGACTTTTAAAGACTCCCTAAAAGTTTGAATTGAATACCTCCAAACTTTTTAAGTTCATAACAACCTTTAAAAGTTTATGAAAGTCAAGATTGAATACACCCCTTAGTACATGATTATTTTAATAATTTAATTTTTTCTTCTTAATAACTTTTGGTTTTATTATTTTATTTGCAAAGCAGAGAATTGGCAACACGGTTACCTAAATTTTCCGTCTTCAATAACAACACATAATAATTCGTGTTTTTCCCTACACAAAATTGTTAAAATCAAGTTCTCTAAAGATGTATGGTGGCAATTTTGTCAAATCAAATTTATTCTTTTATTTTCAAGGAGTGTTTAAAAAAAAAAGATGCCAAAAAAAAATTAATTAAAAAATAATATTCTTAAATTAAAAAAAAAAAAAAAAAAAACTCCCCTAGAATAAATTTTTCTTCAAATTAAACAAAAAAAGGTACTCCATCTGTCTCATTTTGTTCTGTTTACTACTCATTGGTCAAATCAACTCTTACTTCATTGTTTATTTTCTTTAGTAATTTTTTTTTTTTTTGTGTTTAATAGTATTTTTTTAATAAGTTTATAAATACATAAATTTTATATTTTTTTGAAAGGATATAAAAAGTTTTAATAGTAATTTTAATAAGTTTATAAATACATAAATTTTATATTTTTTTGAAAGGATGTAAAAAGTTTTATATATTAATATTAAATTTAATATTATAAAAAATTAAATAAAAATAATCTCTTTAAACGTAACGCTCGTTAACCAAATTAAATCAGATAAACAAAGTTTTCAAAAAAATTAAAATCAGATAAATAAGATGTTAGGAGGGAATATAAAATTTAGTAATTTTAATTTCATGAAATTTATTTTTCATGCAAATAAAATGGCGCCTAAAATATTACAAGAGAGAGTAATCTACACTAGTATATAACACGACAAGTTCGTCAATCTTTTTTTTATTCCTAAACGAACTCTATCTCTCTTTCTCTCTTTCTCTCTTTCTCTCTTTCTCTCTTTCTCTCCTCGTAAACCTTTTCCCATCTCTTTCGAGTCCTAACCATGTCAGACAACATTCTCGTTACCGACCAAGATCTTCCGAAAGATATCGTCGAAGAGATGGAGGTTGACGACAACGACGCTGACGCTAAGGAGACTGGGGAAGAGACAACTAACGACGACAGCAACGAACTAGAGTTCCGCACGCCGGAGTCGGAGAAGAACAAGATTCCAGTGATCGAGAACTGCCCTCCGCCGCCGGAGAAACCGAGGAAGACGAGGTTTGGTAGGGCTGATTCGCCGGAGCCGGAGCCGGAGATGGAGACGGTGATGGAGATGTTTGATTCATGCACGACGGAGGATTCCGAGATGGATGGACCAGATGGTAGGTTTTCGTTGAAGAAGAGACTCTTTGTTGATACCCCACCAGTCAACGATAAGAAAGAGTAGGAAGTTGATTTTACGTGTTTGTCCCTGTAAACAGGGATAACTTGTAATAGGAGGAGGGGTAGATCAGGCTAGGTGGGTTGTGGGGCCATGTGTGTACCATGTGTGAACATGTCTAGGGAGGAATTGAAGAAATTTACAAACAAAAATTGGGTGGAATTGAATAAAATCTTGTTTGATTATATTGGAGATATGTGGATCTATATGCTTGAGAACAATACTTGATTTTTTCTTCAACTTCAACATATAATCTGATGTTTCCAATCTTAAATTAGTCCTGGTAACCAACTTAATTGGTTGGCCTGAGTAATCGTACACTCTTGTCCCTTAAGAGGGGTTATGAATTCGAATCATCTCTTTTATGAAAAAATCGATCTTCAAACCATCTCTTGTATGAAAAAACCGATCTGACCAGCACTTTCGGGTGCATGTGAGGGATCGAGCAATTAGTTTAGCTCTAATTGTTAGGTGTTGGCTTTGATGATTGAATCCAACATCTTATCATCAAAACTTATTGCTATGCAAATATTAAAAAATAAAATTAGGCATTCACCACTGATAAGCGTTTGATCTTGACACTTCATTGGTTATACTGGTGAAGTTTGGGAAGAATGACTAGGGATCGAGTCTCACCAGCTATAGTGTGGGAGCTGTGGTTATATTGGTGAAGTTTGGGAAGAATGACTAGGGATCGAGTCTCACCAGTTATAGTGTGAGAGCAACCTCTCAAAGTGAAGGCCGGGTTCCTTGTGCGTAGTAAGTAAAGGTCTAGTACACCCAAAGGTCGAGTCTAGTCTCTGTAGTTCAGCTGAGTTACCATGATTTACATCCTTCCAAATGTTTTGTTGAGTGGGGCTTGGATTCAACCTTTTGAGAAGAAGAACTAACTAAATCTAAGAAGAAGAACTAACTAAATCTTTCCTTCACTTTTTTCCCAAATGCATGACCTTTAGAAGGTGTGTTTCAACCCAATATTAAAGAATATATATAAGGTATATATACTTGATGCTATTAAAGGGATGACAAACAAAGATTATAATTGCACGATCAAACATGTTTACAGGGGAGCGAAAACTTAATATTTGTTAAATATGTTTTTATTGATATGCTTGAAAGGTTAATATAATCAAGACTTCATCCCAATATTTTTGTTACGAATTGAAATACATTTTCAATTTAACCCTTAGACCTTAGTACAGCTTCAATGAAAAATGATATCAATCCTTACAAATAATTGGTACCAAAATATAATGATCCTCAACTATGGACATTTTTAAAAATTTTAACCTCGACTTTCAAGTCAATCATAATGCATAATTGGTTCCTAACTATCTATTTTGTTTCAAATGATCTACCACCGTATATACGAAACTTGGTCGGCGGCTTGTAAGGGATATTCTTTATCTAGTCTAATTCAACTAAGTAAATCATATGAAACCTAATGTGTGTGTGGGGGGGGGGGGGGGGAGATTACCAGTACAAGAAGGTCGGAGGAGATTTTGGGGCTGGAAAATTGAAGCCTCGTATCGTTCAGATGAGGGTAAGCCCTAGCAATCAATTCTGTCGAATTTCCTTCGCACCAGCATTGTTGGGTAGTCAGTACAGGCAGGTGGTTTATTTTAGCTAGTTTCCTACTCGATTCCGCTTACAGCTATTCAGTAAATGGTTCCATCGACAAACATTAATGGAGCCAAACCCAGGAACTGTATTAGGATGACGGAATATGGGGCTATTTAAGAGAAAAGACAATAATAATAAAGAGTAAGGTGGGAAAACCATAGCGAGGCAGAGAAGCCAGAGAAGGCTACGCGGCTGGCAAGCATCGGCTGCGATTATGATTTTAGGGTTCGCGAACGGAGAGATTGAGAGAAAGGCGCTCAAAAACAAAGTTTTGGTGGGAATTAGATTTTAATGAAATTAGACATCAATAGTTAGTGTAACAACATCTTTCGTACCAATAGCGGGAATATACTTTTAAAATAAATACAAAATTAAAATTTCGTCACTAAATCATAAACTTTTAGCTAGAGTAATTTTTAACCCTCATAAAAAACTATGCAAATAATACATTTAGTTAGGGGTGACCACGGTTCGGTTCAAATAGGAGATTCGAATCGGAACCGTGCACTGTACAATCGGAACCGGAATCGAACCGTTCATACGGTTCCGGTCCGATTCCAAATCGAAAAAAAAAAAATTGATGGCTGCAGGCCGTAGGCCTACAGCATATTGCCTCTCTGCCGCATTGGGCAGTGGGCAGTGGCGCAAAGACCAAACTTTGGTATTTGCCTCTTTGGCCTTTGGTCTCACGTTTTTTTGTTTTTTTTTTTTAAATTTTTATTTTTAAATCCGGTTAGAATTGGCGATTCTAACCGGAGCCGCCAGTTCATAAACCAGAACCAGAACCGTACTATAAGGTCCCGGTTCCAGTTTGGCCATTTGCGAAACCAGAACCGCAGTCACCCCTACATTTAGTGAGGAATTTTTCTACCCGTCACTAATTTTTTGTCAATAAAAATTATTTTTCTTGTAGTGAATATTAAAATTGTAATAATATGATCCACTCATTTGAATAAATAATTAACTAACATTTTTTTAGTTTCAGAACTTTATTGACTCTTATTAAGTGTGTAGATATCATTATTATTATAAAGGGCATTTTAGTTTTTATCCACTTCTTCCATTTCAATTCCTAACAATTCTATTACTGTCCACTAAACATTGAAATTTGAATTTTCACTTATTCTTTTCCCACAAAAATTACAATTCATTTCCCTCTGAAATTTGAATTTTCACTTATTCTTTTCTCACAAAAATTACAATTCATTTCCCTCTGAAATTTGAATATTCACTTATTCTTTTTCCACAAAAATTACAATTCATTTCCCTCGTACTTTACTCCTTCCAATGAAACGCCACCATATTATTCAATGATTAAAAGTCAAAGTTGCCTTGAATAGTTGTTGAAAGCATTGTAATATATTTGAAATTTTGCTATTATATTACTATTTGTATTTAAAAAATTTATAAAATCAGACTTAGCTTGGAGATCCTAATTAGATTACATTGTTCTCAAAAGGTTGAATCCTTAATCCCAAGAGCCTTCACACTATGATCCGACAGAGCATTTAGAAGGATATAAATCTTAATAATTCAATTAAATATAGAGATTAAACCTTTACTTACAACGCACAAGGAGCCTCTCACTTTGAGAAATTGCTCTCAAAGTGTCGCTGGTAAGAATCTAATCAAATTACAAGTGATACTCCATTGCTGGCCCGCGGTATGAAGGCCGCCTAAGTAATTACCAAATTCAATGCAAAGTAAAAGTGGATGCATGTTAATGTCAAATTGTACGCATTTGGTAATTTGCCAAAAAATGGATTTTTCAATTTCTAATTTGGTAAATTTAAATATAATAAATTTTAAGCCATATTGGGAACATATCATTTTGATTGGGAACACGTAAGACGAAGTCCATGGATAACCATTAACCTTCTTCTAATCCAAAAGTTCGGATAGAAATTGTATGTAACCCGATATTCAGCCGAATTCACTTAACATCATTTTTTATTTTTTATTTTGGATAAAATACAAACAATTCACCGAATTATTTAAAAAATAATAGTTAAGTCATTCGAATTTGAATAACCTTTAAATAAGTTATTGAATTTGAAAAAAAAAAAAAGAACAATTAATATTTTTAACATGTTAAATCTTACTTTATTATTATTTAATTTATTATTATTATTATTATTATTATTATTATTATTATATTATGGGTTGCATTCACATGCAAACTACCTTAAAATACAAACATGCGGACAAAAAATAACCATTAGATTTGCTAAGATGAACGGATTAGATGCATTCCCTCAATGGGCACACGGATTGCTAACTTATAATATAACACACGCATACATAATTAAAAACTACCATAAATAATCAATAAAATCCTGTACATCCAACTTAAAAAACCAACGACCCGGATGAATCCACACTGTTTGTATTTTAAGCACTGTTTGTATCAGAATAGAATCCATTATATTATTATTATTATTATTATTATTATTATTATTATTATTATTATTATTATTATTATTATTATTATCCGTCGAGATATTAATATATTTTAAAGTAATTATAATCAAAATAGTTTTGTCGAGATCTAATTTATTATTATTATTATTTTTAAATAGTAGGTTCAACGAATAAATAAATAAATCAGATCTTGACAAGACAAAACTAAGTTATTTATAATCACTTTAAAATATATTACTCCCTCCGTCTTATTTTATGTGTCGGGTTCAGTTAATGAGGTTTGACGGAAATTATTTACAAATTAAATTTAAAATTAGTATGTAAAATTTATATATTTAGAAACTACATTAAAAGTAATATTAAGTATTAAACAAAAAAAAAACAAAAAAATTCAAATTTAAAAATTAAAAAAAAATGCTAATAGAAATAAGTAATGACGAAAGAGTTGGTTTGACTAATGAATCGTAAGTTGACAGATAAAATGAGACGGGGAGAGTACTATACATGTGGATAATAATAATAATAATAATAATAATAATAATAATAATAATAATAATAATAATAATAACATTTGGCAATTCTTTTTTTTTTTTGAGTACTAAAACATTTGACAATCCAATCAGCAAAAACTTGAAGTTAACTGTTAAAAATGTTAATTGCTCTTTTTTTCCGGATTCATTGGCTTATTTAGGGGTTATTCAAGTTCGATGGTTTAGTTGTTGTTTTTCAAATAGTTTAGTGATTTTTTCTTTTGAATGTTACTGACTCTATTACAATTTAGTATTTGTTCATACATACTTTTTCAACCTACTGAAGCGCAAAGAGTCAATGCCCTTACATTGGAGTTCGAACTTGAAACCTCTCATTTAAGGGGCAGTGGCTTATTTATACCGTACTTTATCTTTCTTTCCTTTTTTTTTTTTTTTTTTTTTTTTTGGATAGTGACACATGGATTATATTAATGGTAAATGATTACTTCTATTTTTAAAAGAATTTTAAAAAATGAAAGAATAAATATTGTGTGAGACTAATTTACATTAGACGACCATGTAATCAGGCCCGTATTTTGGGCTGTGCAAGCTGGGCTACCGCACAGGGCCCCAAAGTTTAGAGGGGCCCCAAATTTTAGAAGCTCAATATTTTATTTTTACCTAATTAGTTTAGAAATAAAAATTAAAAGTTTTTAATTAAACTTAAAAAACTTTATAAAGAAATGGTAGGAACATGTATTTATTGTATTTTAAGACCTTTGAGGTCTAAGGTTCAAAACTTGTGCACACTATTATTATTCCATAATATGTCTATTTTTACCTGTGCGTTGCACGGAAAAGATTTGTTATAATCTTAAAATTATAACAACGAATATTATATAGTGCAATTGATGAAATCTTAAAATTATAACAACGAATATTATATAGTGCAATTGATGAAATGAGTTGTATCGATTATGTTTTTTTTTTATGTTATCCTTGCTTGAATTCGAGCAAATAATTGCTCAATTATTCGTGCAGTGTACGTGCATGCACGGATATTTTTTTGTTATATATTTAGATAATAAAATTACGATATTAGTTTTATAGATTTTAATTTAAGTAGGGCCTTATTTATTTATCCGAACAGGGCCACAAAAATCTAAAAACCGGTGGTCCATAATCATAATTTTTATTGATTTGGAAGGGGAAACCCAAGGATTTACAGAATATTAAGAATTAAGAACATGATTATGATTACATTACCGTGTAATCATAAATTAATTGCATAATTGTGCATTTTTTTCCTATCCACAAAGAAAATTAATTTTCTAAATTCAACCAATTACAAATTACAGAGATTCAGAGAATACAGACCCAAAAAATCGAGGCAAAAGGGATATAATAATAAAGTACTAAAAATAAAAACAAAAACAAAAACAAAACCCACGATTGTATCGGAGACTGACAAAATACAAAAAAATGATAAAATTCAATAATAATTCATGCAATGGAGTTCACATCCCATCACATGTAAACGTCGCAATAGCTATTATCAAACCCCTTGGAAGAGAAGAAAACCACCAGACTACAAATGACCTTAAGTTTCCGGTGACCGGACTTCCAAACTCCGACCTTCAACCTCACCTTCGAATACACCCGGAGCTCCAGCTCCACGTTCCCGTTGGTCCTCTCCACCTTGAAATCCCTCGCCACGTTCGCGTTCACGGCCACGTCTTTCGCCGGGAGGGACAAGTCGAGGTGGGTCACGTTCCGGTGCGGCTGGAGAAACGGGTCGGCGCCGTGGTCGGCGATCAGCTGGTCGTCGTAAAAGAGCTGCGCCTCTATGGCGTCGTAGTAAACGGCGGCGTGGGTGTTGGGGTTGAAGGCTTCCAGGGTGAAGTTGAAGGTGGCGGTGAGGCGGTTGTTGGACGTCAGGGTGTAGTTCTGAATGGTGGCGTTCTCGACGGCGTAAACCAGCCGCCGTGGCCGTATCACCAGCCAGGCGATGAGGATGGCTAGGCCCACCACCACAATCACACCCAGCAAGAATATTGCGATGCACGTGAGGGGTTTGAACCTCCGTGGCCGCCGGGCAGTTACGGCGGAGGACGGTGGTGCCATTTTGATAGTATTACTATTAGCTCCGATCTCATTGTGTTGTATATATATAAAGTAAAAGTAGCAGGGCAGCTGGGAATGGAATAGTTTCTTCGTGAAGTAAAGATTTTTTTTTTATTCTTTTTATTTTTATTATTTTTTAAATTTAAATTTAAAAATAATAGTGGGAAATATATAATATGAGAATTATATTGAAGAATATAACTCATGTATAATCCCTAGCTAAGCTAAAAATAGATAACAGAGTTGCAGAAAACCAGATTTCAATGGAATGATCACAACAAACAAATGCTTAATTAAATAGCTTTTTGGTTTCTTGCATGGAACTCAAGAGATCTTAAAAAGTTCTAAGTTTTATTTTTTAAAACAAAATTTGGGTAATATTTTATTTCATTTTAAAATATGGAGATAAAGGGAGAGTGGGAGACAGACAATCTAGCCGGGAGGAGTAAAGGTACATGAAGTATATGAAAATCATGAATTGATCGACTACAGATGTATATATATTTATCGACTAAGGATGAAGAAACCTCTTCAGGAAGACATATACAGCTAAGTAAGCTATGTTGTTAGGGTAGCCCGGGGTAGGGAGTATACAATACCATTTCTCCACAGTTCATATATATATATATATATATATATATATATATATATATATATAGTGTTGTCCCCAGAAGAATTATTCTAAAATTTTATATTCGTTTGTTTAAGTTGTTCTTTAGTCTATTACATCGTAACGTACACACCAAACTCCGTGCATGCACACACATACTAAAAGTTTATATTTGTTTATTTAAGTTGTTATGTGGGTGGTCTATGGTGTGTCCATTTTGCTGTGTAACTATATACTATTTGGTTGGGAATTTTGGAGGGTGATTTATGCACTGATTTTTTTGGTAAAGCATAAGGTTGTTAGTGTACATGTGTTTTTTTTTGTTTTTTTGTTTGTTTGTTTGTTTGTCGTTGAAATGTGTGGTTATCGTGGTGTGTGCGTACACCTCCCTCAGTATGTGCATAGTGTTGTAACGAGGGTATTGGCATGACTATGGTATTATAATGTAATTTTCCTTGTATTTGGTTAGAAATATTTGTTTCTCAGAGTGAGCATGGATTTTTCACGTATTTCTAGAATCTTTTTGTTTCGAGATCAAATATTTATATTCATTGTATTTTTGGAATGCAAAATATTCGAATGTGTATTTTTTTGGCTCTGGTTTGTGCGTAGTTATATGTACGCTTGTGCACTTTACTGTATAACTTTTTATTTCCTGGTTTCCGAGGTGTATAGTCGCATTTCAACATACTCTGTGCGTGGTCGATTTATGGCGTGTGCATTTTACTGTGTAACTACATACTGTTTGGTTGGGGATTTTGGAGGGGTGGTTTTTTCATGTGCGTTTGTTACTGTTTGTTGGTGCATACTAATTCATATGCCTATATATTAAATTCTCCCTTTTACTACTCGCCTTTGTTTAGTAATAGTTGGATTCTAACATTGTAGACTGCTGATGAGATTTTTGCTGACTGCGGCGTGTTTGCTATGCGTCACAAGGAGTCGTATGTCGGACAGTCGTACGCTTCATGGGATTGCGGGCTTCATAGGGGTGATGCACGGGCCATGCTTGCCCTATGCGTGCGCTTTTCGTACGAAATTATACTATTTCAGGCTAACACACACATCGGGTATCGAATATCAGTTGTGTTGTGGGTTCCGGGGGCAGTGCTTGTTGACACCTTATATGCTGCTTAAAATACTTTATGTTTGTCTCTTTATTTTTATTACGATGACTTTTGACGTATTTCATTTATTTTAGTTAATTTGAACCGTTTTTTTAATCAACTCTCCGTAATACAATTTCCCCTCTCGTTATATTCATTTTTTAACAATTTGCTTGTGTTATTCTATTCCATGTTCATGTTCATATCTTCAGACGCACACGCTTCTCCAAGCATATGCCCATTCTTATGCAATCACACGCACACCAATTACACGCACATGCCTGCAACTATAAAGCTGCTTGCACAGACTATTACCCACAGTCGCAGACACGTGGAACCCTTCAAAAACACGTTCCCACACCTTCACACATATGCGCACACACCAACATGTATAAAAAAATCACGGCATAGCAAATCAACAAAATAAATACTCATACAGGTCTAATTCAATCTTAATGAACTAACAATATCATTCCATGCACACACCTAATAATAATTTTAGATACAAAATGAAGGACAAACCAATTCCAAATCCCTTTATAAGACCAAATAGCGGGTGCGCAGTTCTGTATTAGCGTGTGCATGTTACTAGTTTTATGGTCTGTGCTTAGAATACCATCAGCTTGTGCATTGTACTGCCACACGTGTTTTTGGTGTGTCGATGGTACAATATTGTTTATGTTGTTGAGTTTGATTAGGGATCTTTGGTGCTTACAGTGAGCATGAGTTTTAATCGATTTTGCAGATTCATTTTATCTCAGGGATTCAATGTTTTGCTTTTTATAACTCGCGGTATGCGAATATTTTTAATTGGGGATGTGTTGACACTGGTTTGTGCGCAGTTGAATGTTGGCGTGTGCATTTTACTGTTTGTGCGCTTTAATCGGATACGTGCACAAACCTACCAACATACACGCACACACCATCGTCTATAAAAAATACGTTTCATAGCAGACCAACCAAATAATACCCATACCATCTAATTCATTCAAAATGAAATAACAATATCATTACACGCACACCCCTTTATAATAATTATTTTGGATACAAAATGAATGACAAACAAATTCCAAACCCCCTTAATCTACAACATGCACACGCCAATTTAAACACACGCACACACCAATAGTCTACCTATTACCCAACTGCTTTTGCATTCTTCTTTTTAATAAAAAATAGAAACAAAAACCCCCCAAATTGCTTCGTGTTCCCGTTACATATTAATTGTTCAAAACACATCAACAAAACACAATAACAAATGCGTTAAATGTTCGTACGCACATGCCGTAGATCCACAATGCACAAACCGACGTTCAAAATCAATTTAAAATTCAAAACAGCAGCACCTACCCGTGTTAGTTCTCGCCATCTTTAACCTCTGGACTGTTTGTGCGCTTCAACACACTGTGTTCACGGTTTGACTGGTACACCTACTAACAAGAATGGATGACTACTACTTTTCCATTAATCTTGTGGTATTTCATTATATCAAAGATTTCAATCTATTTATAACCAAAATTAACACATTAATAGAATTACTTTTTAACCCTTCTGATTAAAATATGACATTATTTAAACTATATTTCTCATTCAATCTCATCCTTCCATTACAAATGTATAAATGAATGGGATGTGATCTCATGATCTCATTTAATATAGGGGTCTCATGGGATCCGCACCCTCTATATATATATATATATATATGTATGTATGTATGTATGTATGTATGTATGTATGTATGTATGTATACGTGACTTTTGTATTTAATGTGCCTGAGTATTGTGCTTAATGTGCGTGAAGTTTGTGCTTAATTTAGCTGTGGATACGCATAAGACCACTTCGAAACAAAAAACAAGAAGAAAATGCAGCAGTGGATACGCATAATTTTCACAGCAGTGGATGAAGAAAACACTCACGCACATTAAGCACACAACTCACGCACCTTAGGCACAAGACTCACAGACCTTAAGTACAAAACTCACGCACATTAACATTTCACACCCAAGCACATTAAGTACAAATCTCAGGCACATTAAACACAATACTCACGCACATTGAGTACAAACCTCACGCACATTAATCAACCGCACGGGAACTTTACAATATATATATATATATATATATATATATATATATATATATATATATATATATATATATATATATATATATATATATATAGAAGGGTTCAGGTGTAGGGAAGGCTTCCCGTGCGGTTGTGCGAAGGACGCACCTTAAGCATTAAAATGACGCACTTCAGTACACAAATCATGCACCTTAAGCATACAAACAAAACACCTTAAGAACACAAACCACGCACCTTAAGCATATAAATCACGCAATTTAACAAGGAAAACAATGCACCTTAGGAAGGAAATTCACACACCTTAAGTTTCAACAACTACTTACATTAAGCACAAAACCCACGCACCTTAAGCACAAAACTCACGCACCTTAAGTTTCAATAACTACTCACATTAAGAATACAACCCACGCACCTTAAGCACAAAACTCACGCAACTTAGGGACAAAAACCAAAAACCACGCACCTTAAATTTCACATAGATGCAAAAATTACCAAATTGCCACCATGTTTTTTTGGGGGTAATTCTGGACATTGATTTAATCAAAATCAATGATTCTCCTCCCACCGCACTTGGGCGCACCAACCGCATTTGAACCTAAATATATATATATATATATATATATATATATATATATATATATATATATATATAGAATTAGGTTCTGGTGCGGTTAGAGTGCCCAGGTGCGGTTGTGCGGTTTAATCTGGACCATTCATCTCGTTTAAATCAACATTCAGAATTGTCAAAATTTAAAAAAAAAACGCGGTGGCAATTTTGTAATTTTTGCATGTAGGTCAAAATTAAGGTGAGCGGATCTGTGATTAATGTGTGTGAGGTTTGTGCTTAATGTGCGTGAGGTTGTGCTTAATGTGTGTGGGGTTTGTACTTAATGTGCGTGAGGTTGTGCTTAATGTTGAAACTTAAAATCTGTGAGTTAATATATTAAAGTGCGTGGGGTTTGTGCTTAATGTGCGTGAGGTTGTGCTTAATGTGTGTGGGGTTTGTACTTAATGTGCGTGAGGTTGTGCTTAATGTTGAAACTTAAAATCTGTGAGTTAATATATTAAAGTGCGTGAGGTTTGTGCTTAATGTGCATGAGGTTGTGCTTAATGTGTGTTGGGTTTGTACTTAATGTGCGTGAGGGTCAATAGTTGTTGAAACTTAAAATCTGTGAGTTAATATTTAAAGTGCGTGGGG